CCCTTGTCTCCAATTTCCTTTGCTTCACAAACCATGGTGAGATGAATTCCTTTAGAGTTCCAAATATTAAAAAAAGACCAAAAACTATAGCTCCTGATTTTTAGCCGGGGGAAAGCCGATACCGTCTGTCTCTAGGTAAACCCAGCACATCCTTTTGTTTTACTGAGCCAGTTTTTTCCTCTTTCAACAACACTAGCAAGACTTCTCAAATGTCTTCATTAGATTATTTTACAAAATATGCATTACCCAACTTAGTTTGAAACTTGAACCCAAAGGTCAAGGCCAGCCATCTGTGATTTTTGGAACCTCTGGCTGTTGCTCAATTTTCTGGGGCAGTCTTTCCCAGGCACATGCTGCATCCAGCCAGCATCAGCCAACCTCCAAGCTCCTCTTCCCTGTTAACCCTCATGGCAGGTGGGGGTATTAGGGAGGAGAGGGGGCATCTGGGCCTTCTCTACTTAGTAACCCAGGATTGGGCACATTCTGTTTCTTCTTTCATTGGAGATCATCCATTCTGAATTTTGAGTCTTTCAATAGCTTAGAGGGGTCTTTAACCCTCAGATAACAAATCTATGAGTGACTGTCTCAAACACACAGCCCTTCTCTCTGCCTCTCATAGGGTGAATCCAGTCCTTAAGATGGGAAGCTTTCATTTAAGGAAGGTGGGGAGGGGATAGTTAAGGCAGGTTGGGAGGGAATCATTTTGCGATAGATAAGGCTTTTTGCTGCCTCTGCAAATTTTGCTGGATAATGAGGGCCTGGGTCTTTTTAGGATACACTTTGACATAAGAGATTTTTTGAGGTGTGCAATAGAAATACTTCCAGCTGGAGATAAATAATTGCATTGACCTGTCAATTGTAGACAGAAAGAACAGATACAAAAAGCAAACTATTCTTCTATGGGATTTGATAAGTGTGAATTTTCTTAACAGTGTTCATCTGAATGTGGAGGTGTTATTTTTTTTTTTTAAAGAGATGACAGGCCTAAATGTTTGAACGATTAAATAGGGAATGGGAATGCTTAGTTTCTTCCCAAAACACTGTATCTGTAATAAACCATGATGAGGAAATAATGGTCCTGTAACCTTTTTCCTGTGGTAATTTATCTTCCTAATTCCAGTGGATGAAAGATGAGTCTGTGCCTGGGGAGAGAGAGCAGATCAGATTAATTTGCACCATCACGGTGTGGCTTTATTATCCATCCTTGGAGAGTTTTGCAATCAAGATGCTTTTAGCAGAAACACAGTGGGAAGGCCACTCCTCTCAGGGCTTGTAGGAGCTAAGCACTGCCCTTTGAGTGTTTCTGTGCTGCCCAGGCAGCCAAGAGGGCTCTTTTCTCCACTTCACACTTATCTCCTCCTGCCCCTGACTGTGCATGGCTGGCCGACAGGTGTGGCTAGTGTGCTCCGCAGCCAGCAGGATCCCTCAGTCAGGTCGCCTCCCCCTCTAAAGGGATGCTCGCTTTAAGAGATCTCCACCTGTCACCTTTCTGTGGGTGGTTCCTGTTTGTATAACTGGCTCTTTGTCTGCTCAAGGCCAGGCATCCATTTCCTTTTTGAAAAACTATATTTTTACAGTAACATGGCATCACGAATACCTTTAAAATGTGTATTTTTACAATCATATTATATTATAATTATCTTAAAAGAAAACTCTTTAAAAATAATTATCTATGATTCTGTTTCTCTAATATACCCACATCTTTATCCTCTGGGTTTTTACATATGTGTGTATGTGTATATCTATGTAGGTATATTTGTGTGTGTGTCTATTTTGTCATGTACTCATTTTCCTGTTACCCATGTAAACAATTTTGGCATCAGCTCTATTCCCTTTCTGCTCCAGAAATCCTGCCAGTGGATATGACATGGTGAAAGGAGAGGGGACTGTGGTGTCAAGCAATGCTTAGTGTGAATCCTGGCTCCATCGCATGGTGAATTACCTTGGGAAAGACCTTCATTTGTTTGTTGGTTCATTCCTCTATCCATTTGCTGGTCTTCCCTGCGTCCCTTCCTGTCTCCCATTCACAAGCATTCACTTTACTGTTGTACAGCTGGATGCGAGGGGTCTGGGCACCATTTTCCTATCATACACACACACACACACATACACACACACACAGCAGGCCAGATGCGGTGTCTCACACCTATAATCCCATCACTTTGGGAGACTTAGGCAGGTGGATCACTTGGTCAGGAGTTCGAGACCAGCCTGGCCAACATGGTGAAACCCCATCTCTACTAAAAATACAAAAATTAGCCAGGCATGGTGGTACGTGCCTATAATCCCAGCTACTCGGGAGGCTGAGGCAGGAGAATTGCTTGAACCTGGGAGGTTTAGGTTGCAGTGAGCCGAGATCGCACCATTGCACTCCAGTTCTAGGTGACAGAGCAAGACTATGTCTCAGGGTAAAAGAGAGAGAGAGAGAGAGAGAGAGAGAGAGAGAGAGAGAGAGAGAGAGAGAGAGAGAAAGAGAAAGAGATTACAGTATATTAAGGAGTACTGTTGTGAGGATTCAATTTAGAATGCATGTGAAGGGACCCAGCACAGCAGCAGCAACCTGGCACATGGTAGGATGCTCAGTGAATGGTGCTGTGTGGTCAGTCAGCAAGTCTCATCATTCTGTAATTTCCCTGGCCCCTGTTACTTCCATTTCTTAGCAGCCTGCATAATGATGGATAATTACTTTTATACCTAGACTATGCCAGAGGCTTCTAACTGGGCATTATAGGCCTCAATCTATTCTGTTAAATTCTTCCTATTACCACCATTTGCGCTTCTAAAGCATTGCTTTTTGTCCTCTGTTACTCTTGGTTCAGAACCTTTCAGTGACTTCCAAGGCTCTCAGTTTCTGACTGGCTACTCAAGGCCCTCTCAGTACTCTTGGCTCCACTTGGGATTTCAGCTCTGAGCCATCCTGCCACCCTCTTCCACCTACGGAAATGACTCAGCCTCTGTGGTCTTCTCTATCTCCTGCCATATGGGCAGGGAACTGCATTATCATGGGTGAGAGGAGAAAATAGCCTGTGAGCCACAAAGTTGGGAAGTTCTAACCTTCCTTGTGCAGTGTCTTAGTTTGTTTTTGCTGCTGTAACAGAATACCTGAGACTAGGTAATTTATAAAGAACAGAAATTTGTTTTCTCGTAGTTCTGGAGGCTGGGAAGTCCAGGTGCCAGCATTAGGCAAGGGCCTTTTTACTGCATGTTTCCAGGGGAAGGAAGACCTTGTTCTCATGTGGCAGATGGCAGAAGGACAAAGAGACAGAAGGGGGACTCTACTCACCCTTTTATAATGACATTAATTCCAACCCTGAGGGCAAAGCCCCCATGACCCGGTTACCTCTCAGGGGTCCCATCTCCCAAAACTGCCACTGTGTCAACTAAATTTCAACATGGGTTTTGGAACTGACACACAATCAAACCATAGCATGCAGAAAAAACATATGACTAACCTAGTATTTCTGACGATATACTGTTTTTTAACTTGTTATTATTCAGCAAATAATAGAGTAGTAGATGATACCTTTTTGGAGCCAGACTTCTAGCTTTCAAGGAGAAACTAACTAGGTCATTTATTTTTTGCATCCTCTATATTATTACCATCAATAAAAACCTCTTAGGGGGCCATATGCAGGTGCTCATGCCTATAATCCCTGCACTTTGGGAGGCTGAGATGGACGGATTGCTTGAGCTCGGGAGTTCGAGACTAGCCTGGGCAACATGGAGAAACCATGTCTCCACAAAAATGTAAAAATTAGCAGATTGTGGTGGAACTCGCCTGTATTCCCAGTGAATTGGGGGTCTGAGGCAGGGGAATTGCTTGAACCCGGGAGGTTGAGGCTGCCGTGAGCCAAGATCACCCTACTGCATTCCAGCCTAGGTGACAAAGTGAAACCCTGTCTTAAACAAACAAAACAACAACAAAAATAACCTCTTAGGGTTATTTTTCTATAATAGTTATTTTGTTGATTCATCCTCAGGACTGTTTATCAAACCCATGTTAAGCTTTGAAAATATTTACTCTGTAGTGGATTTTGCTGAATTTGCGGGAACTTTTCCAACTGGTGACAGTATCTGCAGCAAAAAGGCAGATACAAGAAGGTGTTAGGGTTTTTCCTAAGGTTTTTTTTTATTATTTCAGAAAGGTCTGGTCTGTTTTCTGTAGATTGCATTTGTGTCTTAATTAGTTTATTAAGGTCAGAATTCTGCTGAGGAATTCCTGCAACTCACATTTAGGGATATCCATATTATTTATGATCAGTTATTCTCTTTATATTTTACTTCACCCACAGAATATAATGTTTACATACATTTATATGTGCATGTTAGTGTGTTGTTATAGGATGGTGCAAAGTATTTTATTTTATTTTTTGAGAGGGAGTTTCACTCTTGTCACCTAGGCTGGATTGCAGTGGCATGAATCTTGGCTCACTGCAACCTCCACCTCCTGGGTTCAAGCGATTCTCCTGCCTCACCCTCCTGAGTAGGTGATTACAGGCATCCATCACCATGTACAGCTAATTTTTTTTTTTTTTTTTGTATTTTTAGTGGGGATAGGGTTTTACCATGTTGGCCAGGCTGCTCTCCAGCTCCTGACCTCAGGTGATCCACCTGCCTTGGCCTCCTGTAGTGCTGGGATTATAGGAGTGAACCACCCTGCCTGGCTAGGATGGTGCAAAGTATTTTAAATTTTGATTCCTGGTTTCTCCTTTGCGAAACTGTCTTACAGTCTGACTCTCCTCTCCCTCAACTTCAGAGAGTAAGAGCCAGTTTTTGTGGCCCTGTCAGTGCTGGCATCTTGGGCATCTGTTATCGATGAGTCTAATCAATACCAAATGTCGCTGATTCTCGAATGAAATGCCTTCTGATTGCTGTTTATAAGCTTCTGTCTGTAGTGAAATTAAATTGACTTCTAACAGCAAGTATCTCTGTTTGGAAAACAAAGTTCGTTATGTTAAATCATGTCTATTCTAATTTTAGTTTTCTCTTCTCTCTACCAGTTTGCTGTTTTGTGGTCCACAAGAGGTGCCATGAATTTGTTACTTTTTCCTGTCCGGGTGCAGATAAGGGACCCGACACTGATGTAAGTAGTCCGGAAATCGTGATTTGATGTCAATGTGGATTTCTGAGCTTTAGTTTTTTTTAACGCCTGTGCAACTGTTGTTTTGGCACATGCTGATAATGGAAAGACTTGGTTAGTTTCATAGAACTTTGGCTTGTACTAATGAACAGATTTGTAGCCCATTTGAGCCTCAGACTACTTCTCAGAGAAATTCTTGGAGGAGAATGTCTTGTTAGCATGTACTGTCCCACTCTGGGCAGCTGCATTGACTAAATCCACCAAATTTATCTTAATACCTTTCATAAACACAATGCAGTTGTTGACAAATTTTACAATGCACATTTATCACCCTTCAGTTTCTTTCCTTTATTATTATTATTATTTTTTCTTGAGATGGAATCTTACTCTATTGCCCAGGCTGGAGTGCAGTGGCACGATTTCAGCTCACTGCAGCCTCCACCTTCCAGGTTCGAGCAATTCTTCTGCCTCAGCCTCCTTAGCGGCTGGGACTACAGGCATGCACCACCACACCCAGCTAATTTTTGTATTTTTATTAGAGATGGGGTTTCATCATGTTGGCAGGCTGTTCTTGAACTTCTGACCTCAAGTGATCTTCCTATCTTGGCTTCCCAAAGTGCTGGGATTACAGGTGTGAGCTAGCAGGCCCAGCCACCCTTTACTTTACTTCTAGGGTGAAATAAACCAATAGAGGCTTCATTGCTTTGGGCCAGTGTAACAAACTGCTCCTGGTTTACTCCATGAGATTATTGCTGCCTTTTTGGTGTATGTTATCAATGCTGCTGATGATTGAAATAATTTAGCATCCGTTTCACTGAACAGTGATCTCTGAAGTTGCCCATGTGTGAACACATAATTTCCTCTCTTTGTGTCCTTATTCTGACAGTCTCTGTTGCGTCTCCTGTGTATTTAAAAATGGGATCCACAAAGGAGTCACAGAGAATACCGTCTAAAAATATGTTGGGTGGACAGAAACTTGAGATGTTATATGGAAAGTAATATTTTAACTGAATGAAAAAATAGGCAGGCTTAAAAGAGTAGTCATTTTTGTTCTGAATTGCTTTGCCTGATCTGTTTAATCACTCAGGTTGTGTGTTTCAAGTGATTCCCATCTTGAATGCTTGTTCCCATCAGGAAACTTAGATTTCAAAGTAGCTTTCTCCGTGCAGGCAGGGCTAAATTCTTCCCTTTGTGGAAGGTGACATTTTTGCAGCAGGCTCTGAGGGATTCCGATTTGCTTTGTTGTAACAGAAGCAAGAAGGAAGTTACTGTTTGATGCCCAGTGCACAGGAAGGTGCCACGATAGGGTTAGGATGCTCCTGGAGGCAAGAGAGAGTGCCTGTTGTGGGCTCTGAGCCACCACGGGTTTCACAAAGACCTGCAGGACATGGGACCCAGAGGAAATTCAGGTGTCATCTTGTTTTATACCGTCATGGACAAGGAAGCCCAAGTCCATGAATGTTGAGTGACTTGCCTGCCTACAAACAAAACTAGTGTCATTCCCCCATCCTCCACCCCCGCCGCTTTCCATATGTCTCTTCTGGAATATTGTCTTCCTTTGGGGCTCTTTAGAGATAAGAAGTAGCTAGAATATAAAGTACTAACTTTTCCAAAAAGTCGAGTCCCATTGCACTTGTTTGGAGTTGTCTAAACCCTCACATCATAGCCTTTCACTTCCGTGCTCATCATTCTCATCTTCATCTTCCCATTTTTTTCTTCTTTCCTCTTTTCTTTCTCCTCCCATTTCTACCCCATCAAGCATGGGGAGGAAGGATGGGCAGGCTTCATATCCTGAAGCCTGGATGTGAAGGCCCTCCCTGGAAAAGGCTATTTCAGACAAAGGCGAGGAGCAAATGAGAATGCCAGGATGTGGGAAGGAGTTTAATCAATAACAAACAGAAAGCTGGGAGTTGGGTATCTGGCTTAGGATTTGGGGAGCACTCTCGGGAGCATTGGGGGCCCAGGAAACGTTTTAGCCTAAAAATGATGTGTAACAAAGGTTACTCTGGTTGCCTTGTAAGAAATGGATTGGGCAGGAAGTGCACTTGGTGTACTGGTGGAGATGGGGGAGTAGCGAAGGCTGGAGAATACTGTGTAGAGGTACCTCCCCTCTGGGCGATGGGACGGGGGATGGGTGTAGTTGGACGCAGTGGGGATGGACAGACTCAACTCACTGAAGATACGTTTAGGAGCCAGATCTGCAGTTCTTGGTCATTGTTGCATCAGGGAAATGGAGATGTTGAAAATGACCACCTGGCTTCTGGCATAAACACGTAACAGAGGAATGTTAAAGTCCTGGGGACTCTGGAGGTAGAGTGTGTATATGGGAGAGTGAGATGGGGGCACATCAGTGGGTTTTACTTTGGTCATTTTCTTAGTCTGTGCCAGTTGCTAACACAAGATACTGTGGACTGAGTAATTTATAATTAATAGGACTTATATTTTCACAGTTCCAGAGGCTGGGAAGTCCAAGATCAAGGTGCCAGCAGATTCCGTATCTGGCGCAAGCTGGGCTCTGCTTCCTGGATGGTACCTTTTTGCTGTGTACTCACATGGCAGAAGGGCTAAAAGGGGAAAAGGGGATGAGCATTTCCCTTGTACATCTTTTATAAGGGAGGTGATACCATTTAGGAAGGCTCCACCTCATGGCTGAATCACCTCCTAAAGGGCCCACCTCTTAATACGATCACATTGGCAGTTAAGTTTTAGCATATGAATTTTTGGGGACACAGACCATTAGTAGACACATTCAGCGGTAGATGTCCGACACTGGGTGTCCAGTGTGGCAGTCAGAAGTGGGATATGTCCTGAAGATCAAGATTCCTATGATTTTTCTTAAGGTCTTGGATGTGGATCATTTTGATAAGAGAGTACTGAGTGGGGAGAGAAGGGTTTAGGTCCCAGGGGAGAGCTTTAAGGAACTCCAACATGTTGCATGGGAGAGGAAGATCAGAGTAGGGAAACCAAGAAGGGGTAGCCAGAAAAGTGGGAAAAAAACTAGGGGAGTGTGGTGCTGACTGAATGATTTCCTAAGAGGGCCATAGTCCAACACTGTGATCCCTGTGTTATGAATTCTCGACGTTGTTGATATTGCACATAAGTGGGTAGCATATAGTTTGTAAAGGACAATCTTATTTACACGGAAAGTCTTGGTTTCTGCCCACCATGGGTCAGCTGATGCCTATTAATTATTTTTGGTAACTCCTTTCATGCTTGAAATTTTTATCCTGTTTGGCTGATTATTATGGGGTTATCCTACTCATAGGGTCTGGAGCCAGGTAAAAAGCTTTAGAAAAGATCCTCCATGCAAAATGTAACAGAAACATACCTGCAAGTTGATGTCCAGCCATGTCCCACTCCTATTCATCTTGTGTCGACTTTCCGTAGCTGCCAAGTCTTACATTTAATATCCTTGAAAGTGAAGATGATGAGATGAATTTTATTTTAATGTGAAAGAGAAAGAGGTATATTAAGCATTCAGTGCAGTCCTGCCTGTTTGGTTCGTAACAGATCATGCATTCACTCTCTTCCAAGGAGGCAATTTGCTTTTTGGTCTTTGCAGCAGGAGACCTATGACTACGACTTTCTGCAGCCCATGCCTGCGATGCGTGGACTGGCTGCGTGCAGAATGATTTGACTTACTGTGCAAATCTGTATGCAAATCTTACGAAGACACAAGATGGCCAGACTGTCCTGTACCAGGGAGGTAGCTGGAAGAGCACAAGGGCGTCACAAGATAGAACGGAGCTGAGATGTTAGGATTTTCTTACCTTATCCTTTTCTCAATACCATTTTTCTGCCAATTCCAGAAGTATTGAGCCAGAAGAGGTGTTTAGGAGTTATCTGGGTTAACCTTATTTTGTTGATGAGACAACGAAGGCGAAACTGGTCTGGGGTGCTGTCACGTGTTGTCTTTTTGAGTATCTGGCGCGCTTGCAGTTGAATATTTCAAGGCAGTTGGCCATGAAGAGAAACGACACGTTGGTGGCTTGGCTGGGTTGCACTTCCAGTGGAGCGCATTGACGGCTATTCCTTGGTGCATTTGTTGAAAATTCTGGTCAGGTGTTTAGAAAACTAGCAGGCTAATTTTACCATCTTGAGATGGTAAAATTGTGCGGTCCTTTTCAGTGTTTTAGAAATTGATCAAATAAAAAAATGCCTGCTAGCAGACGTGAGAAAGACCAGTGAAAAAAATGTCAGGTTTCAGAATTTCAGCGTAAAACTTTAAAAATTTTAAATTAATTTTTTTTTTCATACCACAGATAATGGTTAAGATGTCCTGTGCATGTGCTGCTTAATAATACCTTAACTGAGCTTGGCAGACTCTAACACGTTCGCAGACGGGGAAAAAGAAGTTCCAGTCCTTATGAAATCCTCAAATACCGTACCTGCTCTGCCATCTTCAAGATGAAAGGATGGGAAAAGTACTGAGAAATAGCAGTACCCAGTTACAGTAGCCAGATGGGAAGACATTACAAAGTTCTTTTGAACAGAGATGCTCTTCAAGACTGAAGGAGCAGTCGTAGCTGAGAGTATGCATTGGTGCGGGGAATCTTGGTGAAGAAAAGGTTCCTGTGTTCAGCAGAAGGACCCTTTGTGGAGATCCTCAGGCCAATTTCTCAAGGATCCTCTGCCCCTTCTGGGTGAGATTTCATTCTGTACCAGCAAATCTAGAGCAAAAAGCTGAGCATTTCCTAGACTTTAAGTGAGTCCCCATACACGCTGAGTAGAGGAGAAACAAAAGCAGAAAACTTCAAAGAACCTAAGGTTAGTGGTGAGCTCATTCCCTGGTGCTGCCTCTGTTTGCAGCCAGGGCTCAGACTTGGATGCTGCGGTTTGTGACTCACCGAACGAGCAGCTGTCTTCTTACCTGGTGTTGGGAAGGCACTTAGAGTTGGTGCAGGATTTGTGTTTCCAGGTGTGTGGCCCCAGAATGCAGCTTGGAGCTCTGCCCAGTACCCTAGTCCTGCATCTGAAGTTTCATAAGACAACATCAAATAAGA